GAAGCAAGAGTAGAAGAAAAAGATAACATAATAGAGAATTTAGAAGAAAGAGTAGACATGGAAGTTGAAATGAACTTGAAAGCACTAGACAAGTCCAAAGAATATCATGATAGAAATCTTTTCTTATTAGGAATGTCAAAGGACACTATTATAACCAATTTGAAATTAAAAATTCAAGAGTTAGAGAAGAACCAAAAAGTAGACAGAGTAAAACAATTACGAAAATTAGAAAACAAAGCCAAAACAAAAGTTAAGGAAAGAGTTAAAAAATTTAAAGAAAAAGTTAATACAATCAAAGAAAATGTTAAAGAAAAGTTCAACACTTATATTTTACAAAACAATAAATAACTATGAAATTAGAATACAGAATTTTAAAAATAGCAAAGGATAGCATAGCGAGTTGCAATTATTGCCCATTATATGTTCATTATGGAGAAGACATTACTTTCACTCCTGCTACCCATGAAATAATGGCATATGATAACAATGGAGATTGTGCTGATATTGCTTCCATCTGTGATAATTGTAAAAAAGATTTTGAAAACAATAATCTTTCTTATTGTGAACTTTGTGGCAGATTACAAAGAAATAGGAGAGGTTGTTATTGTAATCTATTGAAAGATGGAAAATTTAGAACACTTTCTGCAGAGGAGGGAACTTCCCAAACTATCAAATCTCGTTTAGCAAAGGAAACCAAAGAACTTGAAAGGAAATTGAAAACTGCCAAGGAGGAGTTGAACATTGAAAGAGAAGAAGTAGCCAAGTTTCAGGAAAAATCAGAAGAGTGAAGTAAAAAGCAAAAACAGGAATTATTGAATAAGATAAAGAGTTTAGAAGAAAAAATTAAGCAACTAGAAAAGGAAAACAGGAAATTAAAAGATCAACAGAATGGTCAATTAACTGCTCAAATTGAAGTCAAAGAGACTAAAAGATGATCTTGATTGAAAATAAAAAAGTAATTTAAAAAGAATTGAGGAAATGCTTTCCTCTTATAAACTGAAATTTACTCCAACTATCAAAGAAATGGTAGTTATTTTCTTTTTAAAGATTTTTGCTTTTTATTAGGTAATAATGCATCATCATGATGTTTTCTTTTTCCAACACTTATTATTTTTCTTTCTTCTTGGTAAATCTCATAAGTAATCCTTTCTTTTTTTAGATAGGATTCAAGTGTCTGAGTATTATTTATTTTGAAAATATACGGAGCAATTTTTTCCCCTTGTTCCTTTTTTAAAATACTTCTAATGGTGCTATAATTCTTGGGTTCCATAATGGATTTGATGTAAATTAATTTCATATCATTATTTTTGTCTAGAGGTAATTCTATATATCACTTAAGATAACAAATAGGAGATTTTAATAATCACATTACTAAATATTGATCCCTGAAATCCTTGGTAATACCAATGTTCACATTGTCTGGTTTTGTTGCAGCATGCCCCCATTTAACCGTTTTACATAACATTGTTTTTTTTTATATGCTATCTTATATTTTTAGATGATACATCAAGTTTCAACTAAGGAGTTAGCAAACGATTAAATTATGTCATGTCACATGAGAACCAATGATCTAACTTAATGAAACATGGCTTATTAGAATAGTAAAGGTAATATAATAGTGTTTTAATGTTCATAATGATATACAGCAAACAAAAATATCTCATTAACTAGTGATTCGAATTTTATGAATTAGACACCTATTACTATTGAGAGAATTCGAATGGTAGTTGTTTTTATTCAAAACAGCCAGATATTGGTAATTTCAGTTAATTTGATACGTTTTTTCTCATGATATGTATTACTTTATTAATAGCAATAAAAAATTATAATTCATATGGAATTTCCGTATCTATAGATCAAATACATGTAATTTCAGTTGATTTGATACGTTTTTTCTCATGATATGGAAAATTGCGAATTTCCGTATATTTTACAATTTTTTCCAGAATAATTCCGTATCTTTTATAATAATCATTTTCCATAGCAATAAAA